CGGGACGACAGCGAATGAACTCCACAAGGGGGAAAACAGACAAGAGAGGCTCGCCTAATAAACTAAGACTTTCAGTCCAAATATGTGCATTCTCCCCCCTCCTTGGAACTGTTCTGTCAAGGGGGCCCTTTAGGAAGAAACGTCTCCTACAAAATGATCATGAATTGGGCCTCATTCGGGGGTTAACAACAAAAAATCGTTCCGAATCCAGGGTGGGTTTCACAAAGATGCTAACGTTAGCATATAAGCTAAATGCGGCGTTTTGTGGCCCGTCCAGTTCCTCTTCATATTCCGATGTGGAGCCTCGGAGAACCGACTGCCATGGCGGCTCCCTCGCCTTAGCCGACCGAGAACGTCCAGTGGCAAGCCCTCTCTACCTTAACCCAGAAACGTCTTCAGCATTCACAAGATACACCGTCAGGCACAATCTTAGCCCAAACTGACGTTAATTCCAGGTACGACTTCCAACCAGAACAGCGTTGGATTACGGAGAGCGGCGATACTGGATTTCTTTTTTTATTCCTTCCCCATAGGTCTCAGGCTCGCCGTCTTTGTCACTACGCACGTTAGCTACGCCGTTTCTGTAAGGTCGTTGAAGAAGGTGTCATCCCCACGCTGCTCGAGTAAACCTAAATGGAGAATACGGGAAGCCGTGAACGCGCAATGGCGACTCCCGAGAGCGGATTTAACCAATCAGAGGGGGCTATTTTTCCAGTAATGGGCGTCAACCGGGAGTTCAATACACCAATCAGAACGCCGTTCCAGAACACCACATGGCATAATTTGCTTTGCACCGCCCACAGAACTTCAAGAGCACCCCCCCCCAAACCCGCCACAGATATCATGGGAGGGGGCCGCGGCGTGATGGATGACTTCATGAACCAATGAAGATCCGGTATTTAAGCGACGTCATTGACAGCCGCCAGCTGTCACGAGGACGCAGGAGACCTCAGCACTGTTGCTATGTCATTTCAAGACGGCGCTTTCCTTCGGGACAATGTTGTTTTCGTGTTCTACCTGAGTGTGATGAGTGAATGCATGAATAATGTATTCATTGTGAGCACTTTGAGTGTCTGGTTGTCCAAAATAAAACGTGCCATGTTAAGTTTGATGTATTATTATTATTCTCCTCCTCCTTACGTAACTTAATTGGAAGCAATTAACTTTAAAAAGAGGTCTGGTTTACTCATCTCTGCAAGTAGACAATCATATTGTGCCCCTCTTAGAAGTCCCCCCAGAAAAGAAGTGTTCATGACTGAAAAAGGAAAGAAGTCCTCATTATGAGTGAGTACTGTATTAGCAGTACTGAAACCATCGCATTTTAAAACCATGATACACTGTAATCTGTTCCATCTATATTTAAAACAGAATAGTGATCAAAATTTGGAAATGAATTAGCAGTCTTACACATATAAATTTTGTTCTGCTTTATCGCAGCTTTCTTTACTCAGCCATTTGGTTTTAAGTGTGTCAGTGGCCTTCATATAAAAAATTGTAATAGGCTAATCTTAGTTGGTCTTCCCTCCCACACACGAAAGCTGGAGGAAAGCCTTTTGTGTGGTTTATATCTCCTCTGTTGTACGCTACAAAGGGAATTCATCCCAGTCTGCCCTTCAGTGCTTCAATATGCAGAATGAAAAGTCGTGTCCCAGAAATAAAGCAACCGAGCAAAAATAATGCGAGATGCAGCGGCGAGACCAAAATAAACAGACTTTTTTTTTCTTATTTAAAAAGCAAAAATGAATGCCAATATATATATATATATATATATATATATATATATATATATATATATATATATATATATATATTGTCGTCTCACGTTATGCTATCCAACCGCCCGGCCCATTGTCAAACCAAATGATTATAGTAAAACAAAGCAAAGAAGCATAGAAACGCTGTCTGTTTTGTACCCTTTGGCAGTTTGTATGTTTTGTGTTGTTATGTAAGATCAGTGGAGTGTTTGAGGGTCATTGGGACTATGTTGTGTTCTTTAGCACCACATAAGGAAAAATACATGAAATTAGATTATGTACAAATTTACTGGGGTATAATGGAACGGATGTTGCAAAAGAGAGGTATTGAAACAAAAATCACAAGCATGCACATTTGAATACTTTGGGCCAATGTCAAACAGTCAAACGAAATCTCATCAAACACTGCATGGCCTGTCATGTCCGTTGAAACACCAGATGGCAGTATTGGACGTTCCAATCGGGACTCGAGTCGTATATAGAATGATATATTTCAGGCCAACAGTTCTGTGTTTGCCATAATCAAAAACATTTAAACAAATAAAAGCCAGGAAAGTATACCTTCAACAGAAGGGAGGGAGATGTCAGGTTTCTGGGTTCAAAAGGATGATAGACTTGAAAGGATTGAAGTAGAGTGGCTTGCTGCTTCCTCTGTAAAGAATTTTTGTTGTGGAGAGTAAAGACGCAGCCAGTGTGTGTCTTTAAATACAATTACACCAAAATGTAGTCAAATGAATTCAATGACACTTAAATGCAGATGAGCGTAACCGCTATGGAATTTTTTTTATTCAATCTTGTGTATTCAGTGAAAACGTTACACAAATGGTATTTATACAAATGTTGGTTTGAGGTCTTCCTTGAACACCACCGGATGTGCAGAGCGGCAGAGTTGGTAACCTTCGTACTCGCTGTCTGAGGAGTCCGAGGACAGCAGCGAGCCTCGCTGCAAGCAAGAGTCGCAATAGGGTCTGTGGTAGAAACAGTACTCCGTGGAGCTGCTTGAGTCTGAATCCCAGTACCCGTGGGGGTCCCCGCTGTTTCTGCGGGCGAGCTCCTTGCTGAGCTCCTGGCTGTCGCAACCCATCTCCATGTCAGATGTATCGACGAGCTCCGGAGAACATTCGTGAGACCTTGATGCCATACTTCCCACTTCTTCATCTTTCAAGTTAAAATCGCAGTTGGGAACCTGGAGGATGGAACCATCCACCGAAACTCCCCCATTTATTGTGATTCCCTCCGGATGCTTCTTTCGATTCTGACAGCCGTCCTTTATCCGCCTCTCTGCGTGAAGGCAAGGTGGCGTCAAACCACGTCTCGGCGAATGGAAAGGCGGTCGACGTTTCCGCATAGCGTAGGGTGAGATGCTGGGGTAGCGAAAGACTACAGGAGAGTTAGGGGAACGCGGTGTCCGCATAGAGATGGGTGAAAGTGAGGAATCCTCTGTAAATCTGCTATGAGAAGGCACCCTCGCAGATTTTAGAACACTTGCCAAGACCGTGTCCACACTCAGTTCTTGGAGGATCTCCTGCAACTTCTCGCTACTAACGAAACCAGCTGGTCTGGTGTTTGGTCCCAAGGGCGATGTTGGTCCACTGGTCAACGTTTCTACCTCAAAAGGGTTCAAAAGTCTGGGGGATTGTGGGAACGTGACAAATTTCGCCTTCTCCTCTGCTGTCCTATGAAAGCCCGAAGATTGGAGTGGGTCCTCTGCTCTGGACTCGCACGGGTCTGCATCCAATCCACCGGAAAGAGGAGATGGGGCAGCGGTGGGTGTTACAGAAGATGGCAAAGGGGAATGATCGTAAGATCCCGGACAACTAGATGACGAGGGAACAGCGACGAGACGAGGGGAAACAGATGGCGGCGGTGAGAGTCTGGACTTGACATCGCCATGAGGTAGAGAAGCTGAAAGTCGACAGGACTGAAGTTCCGTGGTCTGAGTGGAGGAGGACTGGAAGTTGTCCGCCTCCTGCTCCTCGGACGTTTGGCTGGCTGACACCAGACGCAGAAGTTTGTCTTTGGCGTTGCTCACCTGCTCTTGCAAGCTGTCAATCACAGCGTTCTTCTGGAAAACAGCAAATAAAAATGAAGTTAAACCTCGGCGTTTCAAGAGCTTCAGACCAAAAGAATTCTCTATTCACTCTGCATCCATAGCACTTCATCAGGATTGTGGGTGAGCTGGAGTCTAAAACTGACTTTAAGATAGATACGGGTTACACCCAGGACTGATGGCTAGCAATTCACAATACTACAACTATCATTATTTGGATTATTAAATAATCAGTAATCACTTTTAGTTCCATTTGTACAAAGTTGACCCAGAACAGGATAAGCAGGATAGAAAATGAATGGATGGCTGGGCAAATGGACTCGTTTTAGCTAATTGGCAAACAGAACAAGCTTCCTTTTCAAAAAGTGTCCCCTCTTCCCCCATGCCCCTTAAAATACAATTGTAGTTCAAATAAAAGATGTGTGCCTGCGTGGGTTTTCTGCGGGTACTCCGGTTTCCTCCCACATTCCAAAAACATGCATGGCAGGCTGATTGAACACTCCAAATTGTCCCTAGGTGTGAGTGTGCCCTGCGATTGGCTGGCAACCGGTTCAGGGTGTCCCCCGCCTACTGCCCGATGACAGCTGGAATAGGCTCGAGCACCCTCCGCGACCCTTGTGAGGATAAGCGGATCGGAAAATGGATGGATGGATAAAAGATGTGGCTTCATAGTACCTCGCTGAGAAGCTTTTTCATGGAGTTGTTCTCCCCGAGGAGGAAGTAGATATCTTCCTGGCTGTAGACTGTAGGCTGGCTTTTACTGGGGCTGCTGAAGTACTTGGCCATCTGACTCGGGTTGGGGTGGTCCTCCTCAAAATGCCTCCACTCGGTCAGCTGCTCATATAAGCAATTGCGAAGGGAGAAAAAAACAAACAATTAAAAAAAAACGTTTTCTTCTAATTTAATATACATTGCCCCCACATTCTCTTGCAATGAGGTTTCCAACCTGGGGCACGAAGAGCATGCAGTTGGTGGCGAGCGTGCAGATGAAAATGGCACCAGCCACGATGCTGTAGACCACGTTGGGCCAAGCCGGCATGAAGATGGATACCGGTATGGCCAA